TAGAAGTAATGTTGGAAGGACAAGCTAACCCCTTAACATTATTGTAAAAGTTGGAGAACAAAATTGAATTGAATTAATTGTCCAACAAAACATCCAATTCAAAAAAATAATAAATAGGAGCTTAATTTTAAAAATTAAATCTGAAATGAAATTCTTTAAGAATTTCATTTCAGATTTAAGAGAACAGCGTTTGTGGCAAAATATTTGAGCCTGTCTACTCATATTTGATTTTGATTCCGCCATTGAGCGTGGAATCTGTGCGAGCCATCTCAATTGCTAGTAACTTTTGTACAAGTTTCAATGAGACTTGGAGACACAGCTTTAAGTGATCTCTGCTTATTCAAGACATATTTTACTGAATTAGGTCAAACACTCAGAATTAGGTCGAACACAGCCCTCAAAAATGAAGTCAGTAATAATTTGCTGACCTTAATCTTTAAGAGGTCAACATCAGGTTGGCAAAAAAAACTTAATACAAAGATTTTAAATAAAACATAAAAATGAGGTCAGCAATTTTTTAATCAGTTAGGTCGGCATCAATAAATACCAACCATAATATCAGGTGGTTTATATATGTTTTATATGTTACAATCAGTCCCATCCTTTTTTAAAAAGCAAGTTGAATTTTTTTCTTTTGCATTTAAATTTGTTGCTTGTCAGCTGATAATCTTGCTGATTATTTCTTAACTGGCAATTTGTAAGCAATATGGATTAAGCATTCGAATGTTCGTATCCATGCATGTAGAATTGAAATCCTATATTGTAATCCATTTTGACTGTGCAATTTCAGTAACACCTGTAATAAATAAAAACTGCATTTTAAACTAATCAAATATAAAAAGATATACAAATATATATATATATATATATATATATACATACATACATACATACATACATACATACATACATACATACATACATACATACATAAAAAAATGTTTTGTTAATAGTTGTAACGGTATAAAATCATGTGTAATGTTTTAGTTACATATTCTACATCTGCAAGTATCTGTAACCAAAACTGTTTTTAACTCATTAAATATATTTTTTTCAGTAAATATCAGCCATAAAGACCCTGGATAAACATGGCCAAAAAATTATAAGCATAGTATTAGCAAAAAATAAACGCAATTATTTCAACCATAAAATACACTATCTTTGATTGATCATAAAATGAGTCAAATACGTTAAAGACGATAAACAGAAATGCCATGTATGTCATATATAACATCTTTTTTGTGGAATAAATAGTTTGTAATCATCATTTTTGATGCGCTGCTTTCTGGATCTTCACCTTACACGACATCCCGTTTTAATGCATTAAGATTGTGTATTAAATGAGTGTGCTGCGGTGTTGTCGTTGAATTAGCTGTTTTTACTATTTTATAACATTTTACATTTTGCTGTTAGTTTTTTTGATCTTCTTAAAACATGAATCCAAATAGAATTTTGATTTTTACATTGCTTCGTGTATTCCGAATAACTTTTCTTTAAAGACATTTTAGGATGTACTGTTGATAATTTAAATTGTTAGACAAAACAAAATAAAAATTTAATAGTTACCAAATAATGTTGTTAAATTAAAACTGCTATTATTACTGCTTGCCTATTTAAAAAATATTGATCTGAATAATTCAATACACATCGCACTCGAATAAGCAAATCTCAACACTGTTGAAAATCATAAAACATAAGACACAAACACGAGGTTATACCAAGTATAAAAATTATTACACATGAATATGAAATGAAGACATAAAACTGTTAATTGCAATTACATAATAACCCAATAAGCAAATCTCAACAAACTATTACAAGCAAATATGAACACATAAAACCAATAAATGCAATTTAGAAATGTTTTTTCTATGTCTACTTGTATTATGCAGGATTAGTGTATTTTACAATTATTTTCTTTACTTTTTCTTATAGAATTAGAATGTAGAATATTTATATGTATAAAAACAAAAACACAATTTAAAAGTTGGAGAGAATACCAAAAAATATATTTGAATTCAGTGGAAAAATTTTTGGAATTCAAAACTATATAAAAACGAATTCCAGAATTCTCGAATGTTGAATTTCGAGATGCAATTCCTATAATTAATGTGAGCCTATACAAAATTTTATGTTAAAATATTTGATATTGCTTGAGATTAGATTTTAACAACTTTATTTTTAACCTTACTTTTAAGACTGCAATTAAATAAACAAAAGACAATTGTTTTTATAGAAAGATATATATTTTATAGTACTAATGGTACTTTATAGAAATATAATAGTACTTTATAGAAAGATATATATTTTATAGTACTAATGACATTATTTCTAAATACTAATGACTTCTTCTGAGGGCTATATGTATATATATATATATATATATATATATATATATATATATATATATATATATATATATATATATGTATATATATATATATAAAACACTAACAGGGTGTGTGTGCTTTAAGGAAATTTGATTGAAAAGAAACATCGCCCAATAAAGGCATTTCTATGCACAAAAAAAAAAAACAATTTTTCATAAAAATGAAAACACAAATCTCTAATTTCTGAATTTAAACTTCAACTATGCTCTAATATGTTTAACTCAAAAAAGGTCTAGAATAGCCCCTTGATATGTGTGTGTGTGTGTGTGTGTGTGTGTGTGTGTGTGTGTGTGTGTGTGTATACATACACATACTCACATTATATTCAAATTTACTTTATTAATTTTGCAGGTTCTTGTGTTCACCACCAGCAACTTTAAGACTTCTTCCTTCTATTGTTTTCCCAACTATTGACATGAAGACAAGAACACTTGAGAGCTGTTTAGATGAACATAAACGAGTTTGTTTATACTTATAATTTGTGTATGTGTTGTAAATATTTGAAAATTGTCAAAAGGATCCCCTATTGCCAAACAAGTTGTGTTCATTAAATAATCCTTAAAAAATAAGTTTTATGTTAATTAAACTGTCTAAAACAAATTATTTATTAAGGTATAAGCAAAAAAATTTTATAAAATTGTTTTTGTTTTTGTTTTTTTTGGAAACTAAATTTTAGCTTTTCGATTTTTTTTTTTAAAAGGAACTAGACTGATTAATGCACTCTTGTTGTTAATAAATGATGTCAATACAAAAAAGTTCTTTCAAATAACTTAGACTTAAGTTATATAACTCTTATGTGTGGGTTTTCCCTTTTGCAAATAATTTTTATGTAGAAGAAGAAGACCTTTTATAAAACATAATACCTATATAAAAATAACACGATCAATAATAGTGCTTTAAAACTTTTTATTCTATATGATATGAGATTAATACGATTGATTTGATATAAGATTTATTTGAATTTTAATGAATATATATATATATATATATATATATATATATATATATATATATATATATATATATATATATATATATATATATATATTAAAATAAATTAATATAAATATATATAAAAGAAAAAGAAAACAAAGTAGAAAAGCGATATTCTTTGTTTATAATTCTTATTTTATCAAAAATCTCCAGATGAACTAAAACTTGCCTAATGTAGTGCAAACATTTTATAAAAGGAAAACCCAATCTAATTGGGTAATTTGTTAAAAAAAAAAGGTTAATATATTTTTAATTCAAACCAGATATTTTTACAATAGAAAAAACTATGCAGATTCAAAAAGTTGATATAAACCTCTCAACCAGAAGTATAATGGCAAAACAACAAATGCTTTTTGTTATTATCTCAATAAATAGTTTGTTTAGGTGATTTTAATAAACTCAAAATTTATTTTGTAATGTTTACATAAATTTACAAAATAAACAGAACTTGTCTCTGCACTTGTCTTGGGAATCCCTTTTAGTTTCAAGTTGATATTTTTATTTAGATTCCTGTGCGAAACAATAGAGAACTTCGTATTGATGTTCAAGTTTACAGCACAAATGGAATTATTTTTGATGACTTTTCCTCATTAGATATAAATTGGTCTATTGATAACACAGATGCTGCAACATTAAGTACCAAAGAAACTAAATTTGAATTAGTTTTGTTCGACTTTGATAAAAAGCAGAGTGGGCGAACTCATGGTAATTTTTTTTAAGATAAAGTTTAGCTATGTCATCTGATTTATCCAAATAGTTTATATTCCTAGTAACCTTTAAAGAATGATTTTCTAGCCTTTCAGATTGTCACACTTCATTCAAAAGCAGTACCTGTTGCAGTTACTGCTACAATATTAGGTTATCGTCACTCAGAGGTAAATTTATATTACAATATTATGTCTTTTTTTATGTTTTATATATTTTTGTGTTTTGTTTTTTTATTTGGGTTAATGGAAAACTGTCAATTAAATTATAGATACAATTTAAGGTGGCAATAGCAGCTAGGCTACCTTTGGTATTAGTTCCAGAACCTTCACTCTCACTTAACTGGCTAACCATATTTGCTCATCCATCGAACCAAGTATAAGATAATTTTCTTTTTACAAATTTAAAATTATATTGTTAATAAATAAAAAAATATTTTTTATTTTAAACAGGGTTTCTACTTTTGTATTTTTTTTTTTTTTTTTGTTAAATTTTTTATTTTAAGGTCAACCTAAAGGTATCAGGTGGAACAAATGTCTTTATTGTAAAAAGTAATAATCCACATTTAGCCAAGTTAAACTATATACCACCTCATTCCATCCAGGTGATTTTTTACTTCTCTTTTTTTTTTTTTGTTATATATCTCTTGTGAAAAATTAAAAATAACAAAAATTTATTAAAAAAAACAACTAGTTAATAGGTTGTGTATGGCAAAGATATGATTTCTTTATTTTTTACAGAAGAATAATTTTGTACCGATATGATGTCATACTAAAATAAGTAGCTGGGGTCTTCACTACATAAATTGACTGACTTACTTTGTAATATAGCTACAATAAAAAACTGACAAAAAATTTTACATGTTGTTTAATGGAAACTATTTAGTTAAATACTGTTTGTTTAACACATAAAAATAGTTATTAAAATTGTTCGTATAATATTTATGCTATTGAAAAAAATCTCTGTTTTAGTAACTTTTAGTAACTTTTGAACCTATACTTTCTAAGTTCTTTATTTTCAATACCTAAACTTTTTTCTTTTTTTTGTATACTAAATTTGTCATGTTATACTATTATATCATATTTTTATTTAAATCATTATTTGTTATTACTTTTTTGAGTTTTTGCTTTTTTCCTTTTTTTTCTCTAGATTTAATTTAATTAATAATTTCTAATAATAGTAATAATAATTATTATTAAGAAAATCTTATCAAATATATTATTTTTTTTTTTGAAGGTAACTCCAAATGAAGAAGGCAAGTTGATTATATATTTACATGATGCTTGTCTGGATGCAGAAATGCCAGCTGAAGCTCGTTTGCTGCTGTCAGATGTTTATGCACTACAACTTTCAGTTAGTGACAAGGTGAATTTTTTCATGAACTGGCACCATTGATTTACTCATGTATTAAAAATTAGGCTTTTAAAACAACTAATTCCAGTCAGCTACTTTTAGTTTAAATATAAATTTTCATGACTAAAATTTGTTACTAATAAGTCTCCAAGACTTATTAGTGAAGTATTTTTATGACATTTTTATAACAATAACTTTGTTATTGTAATAACAAAGTTATTGTTTTGTTGTATAATAAAGTTATTGTTATAACAATAATTGTTTTGTTGTATAACAAAGTTGTAACAAAGTATTGTTATAACAAAGTTAATGTTATAACAAGTTTGTGTTAAATTAGATTGTTTTTTTTTGTTTTTTTTTGTTTTTTGCAACAATATTTTATAACAAAATTTTGTGTTTCAGGTTGAACTAGATCAAAAGATCACTGCTAAATGTCAAGCACTTGATATGGATGGAAATATTTTAAATGTTGCAGACATATCTACTAAATTAAATTTGCAACTGAAACTTACAGCTGATATTTTAAATATTGAGTATGTTTTGAGTATTTTGATTCTTGAGTATGATTAAAGTTTTTCTTTTTTTTAAAAAGAAACATTAAAGTTACTAACCCAGCTAATACAAAAGTTTATAGAACATTGCAAACATTCAAGAACATTCTATAAACATTTATAGAACGTGCATGAACATTTGCAATGTTTGTCGAACGTACTTGAATGTTTTGTTAGCTGGGTATATATTTAGTATTATGGAAGTGAAGAAACATTAAAGTTTTAAAAATAAAATATATTATTAAAAAATAAATTTATTATATATATGTATGTATGTGTATATATATATATATATATATATATATATATATATATATATATATATATATATATATATATATATACATACAGAAATACTAAGAGAGTTTCTGGTTATGAAGCAGAAGCAATTTACAACATAACTGGAAAATCTGTGGGAATTACAAGTTTAACATGTGAAGCAATGAAATCAAATGGTAATATGTTATCAAGCAAAACAAATGAAGTGCAGGTAAAACAACGTTTTTGTTATAAAATATTTGTCACACACTAACTCACATACATATTCCTTTCCAGTTGGTCTTAAATTTTTTCTTGGAATTACATAACTACTTCGTACCATTGCATAACTTAATCCATATTTCTTACATTACTATATTGCAATGGATACTGTGTAGATCTCTTTGCGTTGTTGGAATAACTACCCAGGTCTCACCAAAGTGTATCAAAGATACTATTCAGTCTATTATTTGTGGTGTGTTATCCTGCTTGATATAACATTTAAGAACTAACCTTTAGAAATTGGCAATTTACTGACAAAAAAATAGTCTAAAAATTAAAGTGTAGAAAAGTAAAAGATTCCTAAATAATTAAAGGAAAAAAAGTTTGTGATTTAAAAAAATAAACTTGTTAACTAAAAGACCATCAGTTGATATATCAAACATTATATAGTTGATGTATCAAACAGCAAATTAATTTTTTTAAATTCAAGTTTTAGTGCAAGAATTATTTAGCAACAACAATTTAATATGAAAATATTTTTATTTTGGTGATGAAACAGCTTTCCGATTAAAAAACTATTATAGATTTATAAATTATATTATATAAAAAACTATTATAGATTTATAACTATTATAAATTTATGTTGATACATGTGTATGGTCCCTATTCTACATGTCCTAAATGCCGAAATATATTTTTATTTTTCAATGATTAGAAGTGATAGATGTAAATTATGAGTCGTACGGTTTTGTACACATGTGTATTTACATAAAAACAGCTAGATTTACGTAAAAACATCTAGTATTTCTATATGTTTTAATATGATGTAATAATTGGTACACAAATTATTCCCATAGGACATTATTAAAGATTAACATCATTCCCTATGAACATTGTTAGCGATTGATATAATTCCAGGCCTCCCAGTCTGTCCCAAAATCCCAAAAGGTCCCAAATTTTCAAAATTTTATTTTTTTGTCACAAAATGTCATAGTTTATAGGGTTATGTCTTAAATTATTCTAAAATTTTAAAAGATATTTTAAAATTAATCGTAATTTTTACAATAACAGATTTATAATGTTATTTATGTGTGTACATAGAAATGTGTAAATTAGAATGTTATCTGTAATTATCTATCCTTTTTATTTATTGAATATATAGTTATCAATAATTATCAATATTTGCCAATTTTATTAATTTGTTTTTAAAATAGAAATAGTTGTAAAAAGTGTTTAGATTACTTTGTTAAATTATAGTTCAATCGTTTATTTATAATTATGAGATGTCTAGAGAAAAACAAAATATAATAAACTGTAGGAGTTTTAATTTAACTGGATACCAGTTTGTCCTGGTGATCAGTATTCTGCAAGTTGCAAATTATACCAAAAAACTTTTTTGGTGGAGCTGGAAAAGTAAGAAGCCATGTAATTAGCAAACTTCACGCATCAAGGTTTAAAGAAAGTGAAGGGCACATCAAGGTTTAAAGAAAGAGAAAGTTTGAATTAAAAGCTTCAAAGATTAGTTTCACTGTTGAGGAAGAAATTTTAAAAGCCGAAATTATTTATAGTTTAAAGTGCGTTAAGTCTAACTCTTCTTTTGCTCAACCAATAGAGATGGTAAAATGTTTGAAGCCATGTTCCCAGATTCAAAAATTGCTAAAGAATACAGACAAAGTGAAACAAAGTCTAAATACACCATTCAATATGGCATCTTTATATATTTAAAATTATTGTTATTGGAGGACTTGAACGATACTGTTTTTACATTTAAATTTGACAAATCTACAACTCAACAAATTAATAAACTGTATGATGGTTATGTATAATATTGGTCTAAAAAGCACAAGTGCATTAAAATTGTGTACTGTGGAACTGTCATGGTAGACCATTGTACTGCTGAAAAGTTGTTAGAACATTTTCTTGAACTTGTAGAGAAAAAATTAAACTTAACATAAAGTTTATGCTCCATATTGGTATGTATTGTCCTAATGTAAATATCAAGTTTAAAAGACTTATAGAGTTGTGAGAGAAAATAAAAAGTTTGAATACAAACATATTAGTAGGCACATGTCCCCTGCATATAGTTCATATGGCACTAGAGTAGGAGTTAATATTTTAAATTTCAACAATGACTCTCTTGCAATTGATGATAACTTTTTCTTTAAACAATCTGCTGTAAGAAGATCAGACTATTAGCAAATAAAAGATCTAACAGAAATTAAGACATTCTTCTACAAGTAGGGTGACACATAAAAATATGTTCTCAGATTTTAGAACAACAAAAGAATCTTTGTGAATATTTTATAAAATTTCTTCCAACAACTACATCTTTTAAATCAACTGTTAGAGATACTGAAAGATATAAAAGGATTATATTTTGCAAAATGAAATATCAATGCCTAATATTGCTCTTATTGCTTTCATAGCAAATGACTTAAAAATATTTTTAAAAACATTTCAATCAATTAAACGAAGAATTCACCTGATTTACTCTGAAACGAAGAATTCACCTGATTTACTCTGAAATGTCAAAACTTTTTTTTCTTTTTCTTGTTGCACTAAAGTTTATCAAAACTAAGCTTCTATATGTTAATAATAATGGTAGCAATTCCATAAAATCTAATTATGAGTTGCTGATGATTAATGTGACTGACTTAAAAAATTTTAAACTAATAAAGTTAATTGATATTGGCACCAAAGTCAAGTCTTATTTTTCAGAATCTTTAGAAATCTCATGTGGCGAGAAATTATTTTGAGAAAATTGTCTTTAGTCTTATCGAGCATTTACAAGTTATTTAAAATTAAATTTACCTTGGGAGTCAGTTAAATAAAAAATGCAATCTTTCTTGATCCTTTAAAAAAAGGAAGTAATGGTTCTCTAAAGGTTGTCTCAAATCTCACTATAGATGTATGTCTATCTTTGGAAGTAGTCTTTTTTAAAGTTTTTCCATCCTGTTCACCAAAGGAAGAGGTTTGTGATATTGTACGAAAACGAATGGCATTTTTACCAAATGGAATTGTTTCCAGAATGCTATTGTAAAGTTTCTGAAGAATTAGTTTCAATTGGGAGATATCAAACTTCATACTGAGAAAAAGCTTATTTGTTTGCGGGTCTTCCTAATGTTTCAAAATTTTTATGTAGTTTTGATATCAATAATTTTTTTAAATTAATCTATTCCTTTGAGACGAAAATTTTAAATGATGGTGGTTCACCATCAAATTTTAAATGATGGTGGTTCAAGTTTCTTAATGTTACATCTCTTTTCAAAGTTGTTTCTTCACTTTTGCATGGAAATAGCGCCCCAGAGAATAAATTTTCAATTAGCAAACACATTATTCATTTACATGGTACTTCACTTAATCCGTATACAAAATGTATAAAATACAAAATACTCTTTTATAAGTCGATCACATAAAGGTCACATAATATGGGAAATAGTAGAGAACTTTTTTTTCTTTTTCTCTTAATGAGACACCCTAATGTGTATAAATAATTTAAATGGTTATACATTGATGCATGTTGATATT